GGCTCTCACTCTTGCTCAGGCTGGTCTCGGACTCCTTAGCTCAAGCAATCCTCCCACCTCAGCCTCCCAAAGTGCTAGGAGTACAGACATGAGCCACCACGCCCAGCCAGCACTCTTTTTAATTTAAAAAACTTCCAAAGATTTTTCTTAAAGCTACAAGCTTGACAGTTTTGGATTTTATGGCTTTTTCTGAAGTTCCCAAAACTTGATCATTTGGATCACATGAACAAAAATCACTTGCAAAAGAAATCTCTTTAAAGATTAACATGCTTCCTCTTCAAGAGAAACAGACTAGAGGGTAGAAGAAAAAGGATCTGTCTAGAAATATTGATAAATAGACTGGTCTTCACACATAGATGAGAATCCATCCCACAGATGAACTACTATATTAATAGAATATAAATATACAGTCACACACTTAACCCTGAAAGCAGTTCAAAGGGGTAAAATTCACCCAGTGCTCACTTGAAATGGATACTCTCTAAAATTTAAAGCAAGTATGCTATAAAGCAAGTATACTATAAACTGCCGTCAAGGCTCAATCATTTTTCCATTTCTTCTGGCATCATATACACCAGTTTCAGAAAGTCAGCTTTTGCCCTCTAAGGGCTTCAATCCTTCCCCAAAAAAGACTAGGTAGGACAAAGGCAAAAAAGACCATAAATCTGGTTTTTAAAAAGCATTAGTAAAAGACCGCTTTATAAAATTGTAATTCTTAGCTGCAAAGAGTTCTGCAGATGGCTTTAAAGTGTCTCACGTGCAAATAAATAAAAACAAAAAGCCACTTACGAGAGCAGACCAGAGAGTGCTCGATGGTCATCTTATATAAAATCAGAGGCAGGACAAGGGAAATGTCATTACTCAGTTCACCGCGCTCCTGGATAAAGGTACCCGCTAAGGAGTTCCCCCTTTGTGGATTGCGTGTCGTAGGGGAAAGGGAAACAGTCAAGACTATGGTTTGTGACAGCACTGCCTTCGGGAGGCGAAGGAGAAATGCTAAATTCTTGGGAAAGGCCGAGTAAGGATGGGGAGAGTGAGAGAGGAGGTCTCCTCTCAGCAAAACGGCGCCCAGAGCAGTGACAAACTTCAGCTACGAGCAAAACCGAGTCCATTCAGCTCAAAACAGAGACTGAGCACGGAAAACTTTCCCTCGCCTCTGCCCACCCTTCCCTCCTCCTCCTCTTCCTCCTAGCAGGACACGTTAGCTGAGGTGCGAGCGCCGCCAGGCCGACCACCCCATCACTCGCCCAGCGCACAGCACCCCGCGGGGCCGGACCTGGAGCCGGAGCGGGGGAGGCGGGAGGTTCAGGAGTAACGGGGCACACCCGGCCTGGCGGGCGGGGAAGGGAAGCAGGGGAAGGGCGGGAGGGAAGCGGCTTCCGCGAGCTCGACCCGGCGCCCACCAGCTACCTGCGAGGCCAGCTGCTGCCGTGCCCAGCCGCCAGAGCGCCGCAGGGACCTCGGAAGCTCCGCCGACCAAAAAAAATGAGAGCGAGCGCTGGCGCCGAAGGGGAGGAGCCGGAGGCCGAGCGCGAGGGCGCCGGGCCCGCCGGGTCACGTGGCCCAGGCCTCTTCACGTGACCCGGTGCCGCGCGCGCCCGGGATGCTCCGGAGCCCAGCACCCCGCCCTGCGCGGCTCGCCGGCCGGAAGGAGTCCTGCTCTCTGCTCCCTCGACCCCGGGACTTCTCTAGGAGCCAACTGGCCGTCCGAGGCCAGCCCCGAGGCCCTGCCACCGGAGAGTCGCGGCGAAGCCTCGTTGCTCCTGTCGGGTCTCACAGGCTTTTGTCTCTGGGGAAAGCAGGGAGGAGCGAGGGGCGGGCTCCTGCTTCCCTCCCGGAGATAGCTTGGCTGTGGAGAGGGCCGGCCTCCCACCCCGAGGGACCTAGGGCGGAAAAGCGACCGGGAAACCCGCTCCCTGCTGACTCTAGGGCACGTCTGGCCCTGAGACCCCACCCAGGTGGTGCTGCCTGGGACCAAGGGCCGCGGAGAGGAGACCCATTTGTTTTACCTGGAGAGGTGTCTCTCTCTCTTTCCCCGAGCCCCACCTCCGGATTGAAAGCACGTGAGGACGGCCAGGGGCTAGGGAAGGAGGAGGTGAGGCGTAGTAATGGAGGGAAGGCAGCGGTACCTCAGAAGCAGGCTGTCAAGGTTGGAAGGGACCTAAGAGGACATCTGACCTAACCCGTTTCTTATTATAAGTGAGTAAACCGAAGCCAGATGAGGGACAGCTTCCTGCCGCTGCAGCCTGTCACCTGTTGAGACTACAACCATCTTTATAAAATACTGTACAGCTCTCTTAACAGTTCCAGTTGGCTCTACGACATCAAGTCCAAACTTCCTGGCATAGCATTCCAAGCAATCTTGTTCAAATTTACCTTTCCCATTTGAGCTCCCATGAATAAACAAAAACATTTCGTTTTCTAAATATCACCAAACAACGCCCTGAATTACTAAAAGCCTACTTTACTTCATCTCTAGCCACTTCCCCACCGCAACTCTAGGCTCTGGCTACAGAGAATTCCTATTTTCCTTGGCTACTTACCTTCCTTTGGATCACTTCTTTTTTCCCCCAAGTTGCTTTACTCCCCTTTGCTTCGTTCATTCTTTTGCTTCTATCTGAAATGTCCTGAATCACTACTTCCCACCCTTAAAGATAACCAGAGCCGGGCCCTAGTTAAAGCCGTAAAGACATTTTATTCAGAAACTTTGAGCTCAGTTCTGTATCTATTCTGAGGTCTCTTCCCCTGTTGCAATAGTTCCTGAATAAAATGTATTTACCGCTTTAACTGCAGTCTGGTTCTACGCTTAATCTTTAACAGTCTCCAAAGTACGCATCAGTCTCCTACTCGTCTTTCATAATCCAGGTCAAATACCACCTACTTATTCTTAATTGTCTGCCTTCCCTGCGTGCTCCTCCCTGATTGAACAGCTTCAGCAATTGAAGTTCATTCAGTGTCAGATGCAGCTTATTCCCTGATTTCTAAAACACTGTACATATTCTGACATGTAAATCTCATTGCCTGGAAATGTACATTTCTTGTGAGAGGTATTGTCTATTGCTGTCTTCTCCCCTGGATTATAAACTCTTTGAAGAGGACTCTCTGGGCTTAGTATAGTGCCTGGCATGTGATAGACCCTCAATATCCACTGAATGAAGTGTCTTTCCCAAAGTAGTAGAAGTTCAGCAAATTTACTAAAAGAGAACTTTTTTGCTCAAAGAAACTGAAATCAGTTTCTTTTGGCTGCAACCTGATCAAAAGAATTTCTGTAAAACATGTTTGAGGAAAAAAACAGGGACTTGGTGTGTGAGTCATCCAATATTTCCTGAGTGCTCATTGCTTTTTCTCTGTCAGGTGCCATACTTGGAGCATCTTGGAGGATGAAAACCTCAGTGAGACAGGGTTGCCGACAAGGAATGTGTACTCTGGTTCATTATTCCAGTACCAGGTGAAAAATATGATGCAAGGTGCTAAGAGAACACAAGTAAGGGACCACAAGTCAGGGAGTCAGGAAAAAATTTCCTGGTAAGGTGAATTTGGAGGACAGGCAGTAGATGAAGGGAGGGAAAGACATTCCAGGAGAGAGGCAGTATGTTCAAAGGTAGTGAGGCATGAAACAGCAGTAATGGTTTAAGGAAACGCAAGTAACCCTGTATCACTGTCCTTAATGACTTTATTTGCCTCTAGGATGAAGGAAACCTAATTAGGTTAATTTTTGATGTACTTGAACTAATGACATTTATTCATATTAGTATTATTTATTGGATTGAGCAACTTTCCATCAAACACACATATCATGGACTCTTCATCTAAAATTGGGCTAAACTAGTGCTGGGTGATTTTTTTACATTTTTTTAAAACTCTAAAAGCTTTCTATGATTATTATCTAAAAATAGCAAAATTGCTTGTTCCAAAGAAGATGATTGCAGAGCCCTCTAAATTTTGCCCTCTACAGGGCAAAAGAACTCAATTTAGTAAATTAAGGAAGAAACTGGGCTCTACCTCCAGCAGGTGGGGGGTGGAGGGGAACCCCTCCTCTTAAAATGCTAATTCATGATTATGCTGATTAAAAAGTATCTGTCAAAACCTAATAAAATAAGGTTTAAGATGGAATAGAACATAGAACGATTCTAATCATTTTGGGGGGCTTCAGACTCTCATTTCAAAAGTTAATCTCTCAATAAATGGAAAATTAGAAACTCCTCTTTTGTTCACTCTCTTCCTCCACTGTGCTTCTCTTCTGTGAGTGTCAATTTGGGCAGATGTGGGTCAGCCAATCAGTCCCAACTCCTTCAGCTGAACCATCTTTGCCAATAAAATCTGAGCCTTAGGAGTACACTTGTTTTTCATAGGCCGCTGGAAAGTTCTTTCTATTGGGCAAGCAAAATTAAAAGGGATTTCAGTTACTTCCTCAAAGAACTGTTCTGAGAGAATGAAAACAGCTAGAAACACCCGTATTGTCTCCCTTTTCTTCTCTGCTTCTTCTCGCCTCTTGGAGGTGGACAAGATTGAGAGAAACAAGCCAGAGGACTGACTCTTGTAATGGCTACATAGGCCAGGCAATGTTTAGGTCACCATATAAGATTGCTTCCTTCTCATCTAATACGGTTAGGAAATCTGTTCTGACAGTCTCAACAACAATATAATTAATTTTGAGAATTGAGGATGACATAACTTTTAAGATTTTACAAATATAATAAAATACAGAATCTATCTCTAGAAAGTGATTCCACTTTGATTTCCAACTAGCTTAACCAAACAGGGTAAAATTAAGTTTACAATGAGTTTTACAGCCTTAGACATCTATCAAACTACTGTGGTGATAACTTCTGTTTTTATAGTTGGCATACATAAACGTTGCATAGAACAGGGGGAAAACATTGAGACAAGAGGTGATGGAGAATTGAAATGAAATTCTAATTCTCTTTTTCCTTCACCCCAAGAACCAGATGAAAACTTTCTGTTCACCAGACAAACATATTAAATAAACAAATAAGTGGTTTAGCCCTGGCTACAGTAGACTAACTGCTGACTCATATCTTCACCTGCACCGAGGCAGATCCTGTACTGAACAGGTGGTATAATGAGATAAACCTACACTGCTCCCTAGACTAGGCACGAAACCCAAACATAGCACTTTTCGCAACTGTCAGTATCACTCCACATAAAATCTCCTTTAGGCATAAGATGGACTCAAAACCCTCTGTTTAGAATTGCTTCCTTGTCCTTTGTCCTCTGAAATAGCTTCTTAAATATGGAATTCCTGCACTGTCTATGTCAGCTGACAGTGACATATGCATTTTTTTTTTTTTAATTTATCAGCCATCATCCTTGTTCTACCTGCATTTAGCTGTGGTAGCACCATGGCTCATTAGCAGGCCACCACCTTCTGGTAGGAGATAAAAGATCTCTAGTCTTCCGAGAAGACTGCGATTGACTGTGAAATAGGACTGATCCTCTCTGGATGTTACATGCACTTTGAAGACTTCTTGGAGAGACCCCAGGGTAGTGATGGAGATAGTTAGAATATTCTCAGATTGGGCTTGACTCATTGGTTTGGAATATTAAAGGTGAAGTTACC